TTAGGAATAACTCACTGAAATCTGTCCGAACAAGAGTCTAGTAAACATCCCGGGTGGGATAAAACTTGAAACACTAAATCATAAATTATAATTTAATAAATAATCATAAAAAATAATAATATAATAAATTTAATTCAATAATATAATCAAACAAAAAACGCTGAAATTTGAAATATAGCGCCAAGTTCGCACATCACTGAGCAGTCGCAAAATCGTTTTCAGTGTCTGATGATGAATTTCCCCACGAATCATTATCACTCAATTCTGCAAGTGGTTCTAATTTACTATCGCTGTCTCTCTAGCTGGTCTAAAACCACTTTTGACCTAAAGGGACGCTTTTTGGACGCCATGGACGTTTCTCAGTTTCCAGGTAGAAAGAACAGTAAAAATGAAGGCAGGGCACAGGACAAAGCACTAGGAACAAAATGTATGTGAAATGGTTTGATACAGTAATGTTTTACTATGTGATTTTAGTGATTTTTGTGAATGTCACTTTTTGTCATTTTTAAATTTCCCGCTGTTCCGTCCTCCATACGTCACAACGCTCGCAGGGGATGGAACCCAGAGGACAGATGCCGGCATCCGCCGGATTACATTGCCGGGACACTGCAGGAGGGACATCGCGGGAGCGCAGGACAAGGTAAGTGACCAAGGGCTTGCGGAGCAGCGCTGCATGGTAAGCTTGAGTGTAGCTCGGGGTTACTCCTTGTGGTACTGAAACTTTACCCCGAGCTACACTCGGGAATAACGCCAGGGAGGCTACAAAGACTTTTTGGGGTGCTGCTGTTGTATTTAAAGTGACACTAAAGCTTTGTTTCCCCAAAAAAATGTCTATACTTACCTGCTCTGTGCAGTGGTTTTACACAAAGCAGCCCCAATCCTCTTTTCGGGTTCCCGACCGCGCTGTGAACACAGAAGGGTTTTTATCTTCATGTATAGAATACATGAAGGTAAAAAATCTTGAGCCTTTAGAACCACTTTGGGCCAGCTTAAATGTAAACGTTAAAAAAATAAATTACACATCCAAAATATGTGATGCCAGAATATAGTGTAGCTGAGGTTGTCTGTAAAAATTGTACTGTTTCTGAGCATGTAGAAATAATTAGGTAGCTTTACAGCCACCCATATCCCTTCTACTAGAAAGGTAGCTGCTGGTAGTAAAAAATAACAATCTCTCAGGTTAGCAAGGAACCTACCTGACATATATAGCATTTTCTAATAATGCAATAAGGGTAACCGTGTTATTTGTGTCTCTATCCACAGAAATAAAATAAGATCAATGGATTTGTAGAAACCCAAGGTTACATAATGTGTAAAGTAGCTGTGCATGTTTCTCATAATAATGCCCATTTGACCTTCCCTCATGCTCTTTAGAGAATAACATCTTTCTAGAATTACATAAGACTCTTTAGACAAAGATTTCATATTCTGTAGGCCCACTTTAAACAGGCATGTAGACACAAAATCAAGCACATAGTAATCCCAGATATATAAAATCTGATATATAAATGACTGAATAGATACCTAGACTCTCCTATAAGGTGTTGTACCAAACATATAAATTATATGTCAAAGAAGAGCAAAATATTCAGATCTCTACTGCTATCTCAAACCATTGCAGTTTTGTAGATCTGGTTAAATAGCCTGCATGCTCAAGGAACTAAATATAAAATAATATATAACAAATACTGTATAAGAAGAAAACATATCTATACATATATGATTAAGTATTTGGAAAAGATCATAACCTTACATTTATTTTAAAACAGTATTAAAACAAACTACAATGTATAAAGTGCCATATTATTTTGTGTTGAATTAATACTGAATATAGGCTCTCTGTAATTACCACAACCAAATTTAGCTTACAACTGTATTAGGATTCAGTTGTTGCAGCAGTTTTTCAAACATACGTCATACAGCGTGGAAAACATATGTTAGCAATTCATAAGATATACTATACTGCCAAAAGTATTTGAACACATGCACATGAACTATAGTGGCATCCCAGTCTTAGTCCGTAGGGTTAAATATTGAGTTGGCCCACCCATTGCAGCTATAACAGTTCAACTCTTCTGGGAAGGCTGTCCACAAGGTTTAGGGGTGTGTCTATGGGAATGTTAGACCATTCTTCCAGAAGTGCATTTGTGAGGTCAGGCACCAGGGGCAGACTGACAACTCATGGGGCCCCCGGGCAATAGGGGTTCATGGGGCCCCTATGTCCTCGCCCACACTCAAATCACACCCAAAAAAGCCTATGAAAGGTACTAGGGACATCTCATGCGGCCCCCTACTGACCCCAGGCCCTCGGGCAGTGCCCGAGTTCCCCAATGGTCAGTCCGCCCCTGTCAGGCACTGATGTTGGACGAGAAGGCCTGCCTCGCAGTCTCCATGCTAATTCATCCCAAAGGTGTTCTGTAGAGTTGAGGTCAGGACTCTGTGCAGGCCAGTCAACTTCCTCCACCCCAAACTTGCTCATCCACGTCTTTATGGACCTTGCTTTGTGCACTGGTGCGCAGTCATGTTGGAACAGGAAGGGGCCATCTCCAAATTGTTCCCACAAAGTTGGGAGCATGAAATTGTCCAAAATGTCTTGGTATGCTGACTCCTTAAGAGTTCCCATCACTGGAACTAAGGTGCCAAGCCCAAATCCTGAAAAACAACCCCACATCATAATCCCCCCTCCACCAAACTTTACACAAACATTACAAGTATCGTTCTGCTGGCAACCACCAAACCCAGACATATCCATTGGATTTCCAGACAGAGAAGCATGATTCATCACTTCATAGAAATGTCTCCACTGCTCTAGAGTCCAGTGGCGGCGTGCTTTACACCACCGCATCTGACGATTTGCATTGTACTTGCTGATGTAAGGCTTGCATGCAGCTGCTCAGCCATGGAAACCCATTCCATGAAGCTCACTATGCACTGTTGTTGTGCTAATCTGAAGACCACATGAAGTTTGAAGGTCTTTAGCTATTGACTCTGCAGACAGTTGGCAGCTTCTGCACACTGTGTGCTTCAGCATGCCCTGACTCCACTCTGTCATTTTACTTGGCCTACCACTTCATGGCTGAGTTGCCGTTGTTCCCAGTTGCTTCCACTTTCTTATAATACCACTAACAGTTGACCGTGGAATATTTAGTAGCAAGGAAATTTCACGGATGGACTTATTGCACAGGTGGAAACCTATCACGGTACCATACTTGAATTCACTCAGCTCCTGAGAGCGACCCATTCTTTTACAAATGTTTGTAGAAGCAGTCTGCATGTCTAGGTGCTTGATTTTATACCCCTGTGGCCATGGAGATGATTGGAACACCTGAATCGAATGAATTGGAGGAGTGTCCCAATACTTTTGGCAATATAGTGTATATTAGAGAGCACAATCACCAAATACCAGACACTGTGTTCTATTCATGCAAAGGTACACTTGGCTGAGCAGTATGTATTGAGGGGATGTAAGCCACACACCGAGAAGGAATTGAGGAACAGTTAGATGATAGGTAATTATGGAAGATATTATCCAGATGACATTTAGAAGCAAAAAGACCCTTTATTGTGATATAGTACAAGAGAATCTTCTACCCATGTGTTGGGTGTGCTGAGCAGTTGCTTCCATAATAACTGGGCAGATTGGTGGTAGACTGATGCACTGGCTTCATCACCTGTGGAGCAAAAAGATACAAGATGTTAATCTAAATTGGGCGACTGGGAGTACAAAGTAATTCTCTACCCATAACCAATAAATTGTCAGTCCAGTTACAAAAAATATTATGCTTTGGATTTAGACAGCAGTCTGACCCTCCAGCTTCTTCAGGCGCCCACAGAAATTAACATACTGATACCATCCAGTCAGATCAAGCATGGATCTTTATTTTCATGGGTGAAACTGAGAACAGCCAACACCTGTGCTCACTGTTCACAAAATTAGTGATTAATGGGGTTGGGCCTTTTAACTGTTGTTTTCCCTGCTGGGGATGACTAACTGCATTTCCAATTCTATCCACCATAGACATAAACATGCATTCTTAAATAGTCTAAGAGCATATGCGAATGGGAAAAATATTTTGAAAGAAAGGATCTGTTGATGGTTGCTTGTGTCTCCATATAAATTTAACATCCTTCGGGCAAAGCATAGGATCCGGGCCTTGTGACTTTACTGCTGGTATTTTATGTGCAGGAAGGTGGGTGCTCAAGGTAGAGTACTTCAATACAGGAGAGGTGAGTATGTAAACAAGGGTGTCACGACCTGATTCACCTGCTGGTGGCACTGTGCTTCCCTGTGCAGAAAGCTGCAGTTGTAGTTTCCACCAGCAGGTGTCCCCCAGCAGTCAGCCCCCAGCAGTCAGCAGGTTCCAGCAATCAACTCCACCTGGCCACACCTGCTGGGAGGGCACTTAAGTTCCACCTCTGCTATTGCTCCTTGCGTCAATGTTTTAGCTGCTCCTGCCTTGTAACCTGTTTGTCGTGCTGCTGCCAGACTCTATTGCCATTAACTCTTGATCCTGCTCTGTACCCAGTACCTTGCTGCCTTGCTCCTTTCCCAGTTTTGTTTCCCCCCCTTCCTATCTGCTCTACTAGTTTTCCCTTGACATTTACATATGGGAGAGTAAAGCTGCATTCAAGCTTGCACTCTTGCGTTTAGCTTTTCCAAAAGCAGAAGTTATCTGGTAAGTTTAAAAACTTTTAAGCTTCCCAGATCACTTTTTCTTGTATTCCTACTTTAAAGTGGGTTAGTCCACATTTAGGCATGTCAATTCCATCAATTGTTTCAAAAGATTAGTATAAGCAAGAAGCCCGCTTGGGGCATAATGCTATAATAAGGCACAATGTAAGGTGAGAGGATGGTATTTATCGGTATTTGTCTGTTTCCTCTTACCGATGCTCAAACTGGTCCCACCCACAAAGTGCTCATTCAGACCCTGGTCCCAAACAGTAAGATCTAGTCGTGACTTCTTCAGATCGTCTTGATTCATAATGTTATAAATGATGGTGTGATTCCACTCAGGACAGGTTTGTCTTCTTAGCACTGGGGTCCTTTGCTTTAATTCATGTTTGTTTGGCAGGATGAGACAGCTTACATGTAAAAAAAAAAAAAAAAATATTATTACATTTTTATAATATATATACAGTGTGTGTATACATTCAAGAAAATCATTATTTGTTCCCCTGCAGATATTTTGTAAGTTTGCCCACTTACAAAGAAATGAAGGATCTATAATTTTTTATCATAGGTGCATTTTAAATGATAGAGACAGAATATTAACTGCTTCCCCTCCGCCCTATAGCAGAAATACTGCTACAGGGTGGCAGAGCTGCTCATATATACGTGATTTGCATTTCTGGGTACAGGGCACGCGCCGCCCTTCCCGCGCTGCCATTGGCGGCTACGGATGTCAATCACCAGGTCCCAGCGATCGCTGAGTAACACTGACAGGGAGGGACCTGTGTGTAAACAACACAAGTCTCTCTCCTGCCAGCAATAATATGCTGCTATGAGAAATACACAGCAGCATGTTTTTCTAGTAAAACACACACAGCACACAGGTAACCCCCAGATGTTAACCCCTTCCTGCCCAGTGTCATTACTACAGTGTCAGTGCTTTTTAATAGCAGTGATCCCTGTATTAGTGTCAGTGGAATGTCAGTGGCAGTTAGTCAGTTCCCACCCAGTGTCCGAATGCCTGACCTAGTCCCGCAGTCCCGCTATAAGTCACTGATCGCCACCATCACTAGTATAAAAAATAAATAAATAAATACAAATTCCAGTATATATACCGCCATTTGTAGAGGCTATCACTATCACGTAAACCAACTAATTTACATGTATTGGGATTTTTTTTTTAGCAAAGACATGTAGCAGAATACATTTTGGCCCAAATTTATGATTAAATTTGATTTTTTTATTTTTTTTTAATTGGATATGTTTTATAGCAAAAAGTCAAAAATTTTGGGGTTTTTTTCTCAAAATTGTCGGTCTTTTTTTGTTTATTGGGCAAAAAATAAACCCCACACAGGTAATCAAATACCACCGATAGAAAGGTCTATTTGTGGGAAAAAAAGGCCATAAATTTAATTTACATGACTGTGTATTTGTCAACGTTACGCAGTACCGTATCACAAAAAATGGCCTGGTCAGGAAGGGGGGGGGGTAAATCCTCTGGAGGGCAAGTGGTTAAATACCACCAAAAGAAAGCTCTATTTGTGTGAAAAAAATGACAAATTGAGTTGCAGTTCAGTGAGTAAAATAAGTATTTGATCCCCAAGCAAAACATGACTTAATACTTGGTGGAGAAACCCTTGTTGGCAAGCACAGAGGTAAGACATTTCTCGTAGTTGGTTACCAGGTTTGTACACATATCAAGAGGGATTTTGATCCACTCTTCTTTACAGATCTTCTCTAAATCCTTAAGGTTTCTTGCCTGTCGCATGGCAACTCAAAGTTTCAGCTCATTCCATAAATTTCCTATAGGTTTAAAATCTGGAAATTGGCTAGGCTCCATGACCTTAATGTGCTTCTTCTTTAGCCACTCCTTTGTTACCTTGGCAGTTAATTTTGGGTCATTGTCATGCTGGAAGAACCATCGACGACCCATCCTCCGTGTTCTGGCTGAGGGAAGAAAGTTCTCATCCAAGATTTTACAATACATTGCCATGTTCATTGGCCCCTCAATGCAGAAAAGTCAGCCTTTACCTTTAACAGAAAAACAGTAACAAAGCATAATGTTTCCACCTCCATGCTTGATTGTAGGGATGGTTTTCTTAGGGTCATAGTCAGCATTTTTCTTCCTCCAAACACGGAGAGTCAAAGAGCTCAGTTTTGGTGTCATCTGACCACAGCACTTTCTCCCAATCCTTCTCTGAATCATTCAAATGTTCATTGGCAAACTTCAGATGGGCTTGTACATGTGCCTTCTTGAGGAGGGGGGGCGTTGCAGGCACTGCAGGATTTCAGTTCATGGTGGCGTATTGTGTTACCAATGATTTGTTTGGCGGCTGTGATCCAAACTGCCTTGAGATCATTCACAAGCTCCTCCCATGTAGTTCTGGGCTGATCCCTCACTTTTCTCATCCTTACCCCATGAGGAGAAATCTTGCATGGAGAGCGATTGATGGTTATTTTGTATTTCTTCCATTTGTGAATAATTGCTCCAACAGTTGTCTCCTTCTTACCAAGCTTCTTGCTGATGGTCTTGTAGCCCAGGGCATGAAATTTCCACTCGCCTGCTTGCCAATGGCGAGTGGAAATTATGGTGGGGGCGAGTGTGTCCCCCAGGGCAGGGCGTATCTACCGCGAGGCACCGCTCCCCGGGAAGAAGGGACCTTTTGGGCAGCAGCGGACAGAGCCATGCAGGGCCGCCAGCAGAGGGTCGCACTGGTACCCTTGCAGTGGCCCAGACAGCAGGAGAATCGATGCGGGGGAGGGCAGTTGCAGAGCGATGCTCCTGTACCTCTCCCTCCAGCAGCTGACGAGCCGGGGCAAAGGGACAGCCTGGAGCAGGGAGAGGAGAAGTGTTGGAGAGGAATAAGCCTGGAGCAGGTGAGCTGTGCTGTGTTCTGTGGGATCTCCCTGCCTCCCTCCTTACGCTGACGGATCACATGGGGCTGCAAACCCCCCCCCCCCCCCTTCCTGCTGCCCAGAGATCAGCAGCCTCAGATGTGAGAAAGGAAGTAAGAGAGAGAGAGGGAAGAGAGAGAGGGGGAGATGTGTATTTCTGTGTATGTACATGTATCTATGTGTATGCGTGTCTGTACGTGCCTGCGTGCGTATACATGTGTCTGTATGTATGTACATGTGTCTCTGTGCGTGTGTGTACATGATTCTGTGTGTGTATGTACATGTCTGTGTCTCTGTGTGTGTTTGTTGGTGGCGAATAACTCTAAGGCCTGGCTAGTAGCTCGGGACTTGAAATTTTAAGCCCTGTTGTAGCCTATTCCAGCATTGTGCAGGTCTACAATCTTTTCCCTGACGTCCTTTGACAGCTCTTTGGTCTTGCCCATGGTGGTGCCCAAGAAAGAGATTCTGTGGACAGGTGTCTTTATACACATAACACAAGTAGTTGTTAGGAGCACCTTCTTACATTGACAGGACTAATCTGTGTACCACATGGTAGGGAATCGATTACATATTTTTCTCTCTGAACTGCAACACAATTTATAATATTTTGTATTGTGTTTTTTCTAGATTTTTGGTTGATATTCTGTCTCTATCATGTAAAATACACCTATGATAAAAATTATAGACCGCTCATTTCTTTATAAGTGGACAAAGTTACAAAATCTGCAAGGGATCAAATAATTATTTGAGAGAGAGAGAGAGAGAGAGAGAGAGAGGTATCTTATGTTAAAAAAAGTTGTTTTGATAAATACAAAACAATAGTAAAATGTTTGGTGGGCTCACCTTTTTACAAATGGACTTAAAGTTCCATCTGGCCGTGATGGCAAATTCTTGGCATTTCTTATTACAAGATGAAGCTGGATCACTCCCAAATGTTTACCTTCCACACCTGTATAAGGAAAACCATTACAACAAGACATCATAGTATAGATGATGACTAAAACCTCAGGCTCCAACATACTGTACATACCATGTGATGAATACTGGAAAGTTGTGGGAATTGGGGGTATTTCAAGTCTGATTCTCAAATGCAGCTCTCCATGATATTGTACTGTGCACTCGTCATGCTTCTGTGGCTAGACAAAAACATTAAATTAGAATTCCAGTCAAACCCTAGCTAATAAGTAACCATCATTTTAAGTGACAGTTTCTACTATTAGTTATTATTATTCCAATAGATGTGCCATATAGAAATAGTGTATGTTACCAGTCTTAAAGTGTAGGTAAAGGCAAAACTTTTTATTTTAGTTTTAGACCCCCTGCAAAATTGTTATTGCTACTTTGTTCCCGCTTGTTATATTAATCCATCTATTAGTCCAGCTACTGGTAGAAACAGGTTTATCATGAAAGCAAGAGGAGAGGGTTAAACTTTCAGTGAGAACAACTGTCTGAATGGAGTGTGGGGCCCTTGTGGGGCTGTTAGTATGGCAAATTTAATTTGTGCTCAACTTTGGTTGTAAGGTTTTTGGGGGTTTTTTGTATTTACAACATCCATTCCAGCCTATAACTATATTTTTCTCTTGCAACTCCTAAAGGATAAGTTCACTTTTTCGGGCAGAATTTCACTTTTCATAATAAATAGAAGTGTTTTCCAGTACCATTTCTGGCCCAACCATCCCAATGTGCTTTTCTCTCACTTATCTCATCAACAGGATGTTTAATTTTTTGTAAATTTTGGTGAGATTTTGAAAGGCTTTTCAGATAGCACAATCTTCTGTAGATGGTCTCTCAGCGTTCATTTCCTGTAGGCCATCTCCCAGAAGCCTTCACTTCCTTGTTGCATCACAGAAGAGGGAATGATAGAGTGTGTTTACCACTCTGGACCATATGTCCCTCATTACAGTCCTACTTTCCTCCCATCAGCTATGTAGTACAAGGGCCTGTCTGATTTGGTACAAATTGAATAGATTGTTCAGGTGTGTTCTCCTATTACATACAGGTGAAACTCGAAAAATTAGAACATCGTGCAAAAGTTCATTTATTTCAGTAGTGCAACTTAAAAGGTGAAACTAATATATGAGATAGACTCATTACATGCTAAGCAAGACAGTTCAAGCCGTGATTTGTCATAATTGTGATGATTATGGCTTACAGCTGTAACGCTATTTGTACAATCTTTGTGGCTACTGGGGTATGATGGCACCTCCTGTATAGTATTTAGGAGCAGAATCCTTATAATCTGTGTGATCAGGACACGATCTCTAATAAGCGCTAGTGCCTCCAATTAATTGGGGCTTGTGGATAACAAGTGAAATCCCAACTGAGAAATGTATCATCTACAGACAGTAATCCACACAGCAGTGTATATGAAAGTCCATGTATTGAAGAAATAACATTCAGTGAACCATCCAACATAAAGTATCTTCAAAACAGGAACATTAAGGCATTAACAGTCTTTTCTGCATGTCTCAGTGAGGGGAGGCTGCAACATTTACCAGTCTGAGTTCTCTTTCTCTCCAGGAAATCCACACTTCCCTCTTTTTTCACAAGTCTCTCCCTGATGACCTCATCCTCAGTGCCCAGAGAGCATAGCAGCCATATTGGAAAAGGGCAAAACAAACACTGCATAATAGAAGTATACACTGGAAAATGGGCAAAGAAATTATCACATCACTACATTCTCCCCCTGCTGAAAATCCTTCCGACCCATCAAGGATATACACATAAAACAACAACAAAATATAGCAAGTTAACATTGTTGTCGCCTTCTGCAGACCACTTCTCCAGAAGAAATCTATTACAGAGATTAGCTGCAAAGAAAACATGGTTAGTAACAAATAGGCATCATGCTAACCAGACTAGAATGGGCTGTAATCATGTCCATCAGAACATGAGGTTGTACAGCATAGTCCTGTACAGCATAGCAGGGTCTTCCCAAGGTGTCATAAGTAAACATTGGTGGAGGTCGTCGAACACAATCTCCTCTCCTCAGCCCTCAGGCATTAGTCCAGATAAATCTGGGACTGCACTAGTGGGAAAACTTGGTGCTCCAATCATGCCTGGAACTGTAGGCACAAAGGTTTGAGCTGTTGATTCAAAAGCAGGAGTAGTTGGGTTCAGACCTCCCCTGTGAGGAAGGCTCCCATTAGTAATAGGTAAAGGAGCCTGTACAGGAGACTCTGGTGGAGATGTAAACCAGTCATTGTCATCACACTGTTCTCCACTGTCTGCACAAGGCACATCATTAGAATCTGTAGCAATATCAGGCTGTGGCTCCTCATCCTCAGTAGCAACTTGTGGTACTGGAAGCAAGTGATTCCTATGCCAGGCTTTGATCCGACACTCAGGTCCTCGAATCCGGTAGACTGGAATTCTAGGCAGTTTTTTTATAACTTCAAACAACTCATTTCTCCAGTGATCAGCTAACTTATGTTTGGCTGAGGGTCCCAAATTGCGAAGAAACACTTTATCACCAGGTTGCAAGTCTTTGTAACGAACTTTGGCATCAAAGCGTCTTTTATTGGCAGCATTTATTTTTGCAGAATTTTCCTCAGCCATTCAATAGGCCTCTTGTAAACTATGTTTGAGTCGTGCCACATACTGGTACTGATTTCTATGTTCCACTCCATCAGTAGACACATGCAACTGAATGTCAATAGGCAGACGGGCTTCTCTCCCAAACATGAGAAAATAAGGAGAGAAACCAGTTGACTCATGTCTGGTACAATTCTAGGCATGTACAATAGCTCCAACATGTCGACTCCAGGTTTGTTTAGCACCATTAGGGAGGGTACCCAACATATTCAACAAGGTATGATTGAAACACTCAGGGAGAGCATCACCCTCTGGATGATAAGGTGTGGTTCGGCTCTTGTCGATGTTAAGCAATGTTAACAGCTCTTTAATTAGGCGACTTTCAAAGTCCCATCCCTGGTCAGAGTGAAGTCGATTTGGCAGTCCATAATGAACAAAAACTTCTCCCACAACACTTTGGCCACAGTTACTGCTTTTTGATCTTTGGTGGGATAAGCTTGAGCATATCGAGTGTAGTGATCAGTCACAATCAAAACATTTCCCACACCACTGCTGTCATTATCAATAGACAAAAAGTCCATGCACACTAAATCCATTGGACCAGAACTTTTCAACTGTTCCATAGGAGCAGCTCGAGTAGGCAGCGTTTTCCGTTGCACACATCTCACACAACGGCGGCAATAGTCCACAACAGCTTCCCTCATTCGTGGCCAAAAGAAACAGTCTCAGATTAATCCATATCCAAAACAGATTTTCTTTAGCCTTGAGGGAGCACTAGCTGTCTCCTTCCAGGATGATCATGGAACAAATGTACCCTATACAAAAGTCCATTGATTATTTTGAGTTCATCCCATTCCTTAAGATAGTAGGTGCTCTGCTCAGGAAGGGTTTTTCTCATGTAATTAGGATCTTTGCGGAAATCAGACTCCCTAACATGTCTGATTACTGGATCCCTCATTTGTAGCAGAATCATATCTTTCTTTTGCAGCTGGATGTTTTCTGGTACCCCTAGAGCAGTGGGGCAGCAATACATGTCTGGGATACACTCTTCACCAGCTCCCAATGAGTTAATAACTCGTAAGTCAGAGAAAACAATATTGTCTCCTTGTACAGCAGCTGTAGCACAGTAGGCAGCCACAGCAGGCCCAGGTACTTCCTCCCATTCACTTTCTTCTAAGTTCATTGGCAATCCAGGAAGCCTGCAGAGAGCATCAGCCCTAATATTTTTGGGTCCTCACTTGTACTTGAGAGTGAATTGGTAATTAGATAAGGCAGCAAGCCACCTATGACCAGTGGCATCCAGCTTGGCTGTAGTCAAAACATAAGTGAGGGGGTTATTGTCAGTTCTCACCTCAAACTGAGCCCCATACAAGTAATCATGAAGTTTTTCAACAATAGCCCACTTCAGGGAAAGAAATTCCAGTTTGTGAACAGGATAATGCTTTTCTGCTGGGTTTGACTGCGACTGATATAAGCAACAGGCCTTAGTCCTCCTGGGTACTCCTGATGGAGGACTCCTCCTAACCCATCGTAGCTGGCATCTACATGCAGAACGTATGGCTTTTGTGGGTCTACATAAGCAACACTGGTGCTTCTGTAAGGCTTTTCTTAAGCTGTAGAAAAGCTTCCTGACAAGCAGAAGTCCACCTCTCACTGAAAGGAGTTTTGCTGGTTGTGTCAATGCCAGGTGTTTCTTTAAGCAAGTCATTAAGAGGCCAAGCAGTCTTGGAATAGTCTCTTATGAAGTGGCGATAATAACCACAAAACCCCAAGAACGACCTCAGTTCTGTCAGATTTGTGGGACGGGGCCAGGTTACCAAATCCTCCACTTTAGCAGGATCAGTTGCTACCCCTTCTGCAGATACGATGTGGCCCACAAAGTTTACTGAAGAACGGGCAAACTTACATTTGTCCAGGGAGAGTTTCAGACCTTCTTTCCTCAAACGATCAAGCACTTTAAACAGTCTCTGATCATGCTCCTCCAGAGTGGAGCCAAAAACAATTATGTCATCTAGGTAGACAATACATTGAGTGGGACAAAGGTCTCCCAGTGTCCGATCCATTAGACCAGTGTTTCTCAACTCCAGTCCTCATGGACCCCCAACAGATCATGTTTTTAGGATTTCCATTATTTTGCACAGGTGATTTGATCAGTTTCACTGCCTTAGTAATTACCACAGCTGTTTCATCTGAGGGAAATCCTGAAAACATGACCTGTTGGGGGTCCATGAGGACTGGAGTTGAGAAACACTGCATTAGACGCTGGAAAGTTGCAGGTGCACCACTAATTGCCTGAGGCATTCTATCAAACTGGAAAAACCCCAGGGGGCAAATAAAAGCTGTCTTTTCTTGATCTTCCTCACTCATTGATACTTGATAATACCCGGATCTTAAGTCCATTACTGTGAACCATTTACTGCCTTGCAGGGCATCAAGAGCTTCTTCAATGCGAGGTAGCGTGTATATTGATCTGGGACCATTCGCCGATTTAGAGTCCGGTAATCAACACATATTCGCACTCCACCATTTTTCTTTCTGACCACCACTATTGGGGATGCATACGGGCTTTTAGACTTAACAATGATGTTTTGATCTTTCATTT